CAAACAGCTGTATGAGCAAAAAATATCATAATTTCTGCATATTGCTGTTATATAATTATATTTCTTTTGAACAATAAGTTGTTAATTTGAGCTCCAATTATGGTTAGCTTATTGGTTAGACAATAATGGCACCTTCTTAATCCAAATTTGTACGGTGATGCGTATATGTACATACATACATGGTAACTTAATGCACCTACTATTGGATCGCTTCTTTTGATTCATAATAGCAGAAATACCTATTCTTGGATAACATCTAACTATCATTCATTATTGATTTAGGGCCATTCCATTTTTTATCCACCCCCCCCCCTATATATGGCTTTTTCTGAAGAGTATTCAGGGTAGGCAATTTTCTTAGGGGTACATGGCATAAGTATGATTTTTTGAAGGGTAGTTTAGTAAAAAGTCAATTTTTCTTAGGGTTGCAAATTAAAATCACCATTTTCTGAGGGGTAGTTTAGTAAAATTGCATTTTTCTTAGGGGTACAAATTAAAATAGCTATTTTCTGAAGGCTTTTTAGTGCTTAAAAGCCATTTTTCTTAGGGGTTTYTARAAAAATTGGCCTTTTTTCTGAAGGGTATTCGTATAATTTTTAGTAACTTTCTTAAGGGTTCAAACTAGCCAAAAACCATATATAGGRGGAGGGGGGTGTGTGGATATGAAATGGAATGGCCCTTAGGAGTATATCCAGGTTCCTTCATTTTTAAACACAAAATTCTCAATTATGTCGTCACATGATATCAACATGACGTCATAACGATCTATTAGTGAACCATCATTTACGGAAGTAACTTACTCTTTTAATAAGGTTTTGCCTGTGCTCATGTTTTCCAACATGACACATAACACCCATCACATCAAACCCTTCTTTCTGCAATGCATTAGTTGCTTTGATAACATTGTCTTGCTTACGGCTACTCACAACAACTTTTGCACCATCATTAGCAAGCTGTTTTGCTATAGAAAGCCCAATCCTGGCAAATTATAAGTAAATATGTGAACTAGAAACTAAAACATCGCGAAACAAAGTGCAAACTAACCCATCTGTCGAGGCAGTCACTATAGCAACTTTGCCATCAAGACGCCTGCTTCTTGCTGCTGTACTGCACATTTTTAAAGAATGGATAATAAAAGGCCTATAGCAAAGACTTCTTAGCACAACAGAACGCATAACTCGCTACAGGWGATAAGTCACTTATATATATAAGGAATTCCCCAGGCGTTGCTTTCACTTCACCGAGGGAGATTGAGACAAACGACTTTCGATACTTTCGTTGGAAAGTAATCAGGGAAGATAATGCAACGTGAGCGTTAGGATATTTTGGCATGAATAATAAGAAAATACATGATGGAGTCCTTTTATTTTGAAACGTTTATTGTAGTTCTTTTCGGAAGTTCCTTATGTTATGGTGACTATGGTATTCCTGTGGCAGTTTCTTTTGGGTTCCCTGTGTTTACTTTAGTACCTTSGCTGTCTGCTCCACTCATTCCTGATCGCTTTCAATTTCTCTCCTATCGCTAATATGGCGCTCTTCAATTTGACAAATYTAGCTCTAACTCTGTTTGCTTTATACATAATGAACTCTATCTATATATTATATCATTTCTTTCACATTCCCGACTGCACTGGAGGACCGACGAAATGTTTGTCCCCGCACCCGACCATTGATGGTCTACTAGAGGTAAGTTTTATAACTTCAATTTGAATGGTTTKGTGAGTTTTTGATGATAAATACCCTTTGATATTTTAAATATTCCAATGCAACTTTTTCTGTTTTCTTCATAGCAATCTTTTAAGTCCATGTGTTTTCATAGGATTTGATGACTGTCATGACTAGTTGTGTAAAAAGATAAATTTAACTTTCTTAACTTAACACCGTAAAAAAAGTATGTGAAATAACTTAATAACGTTTCGGACGTTAATCCTTCGTCGGAGTAAAGAGGACTAGCACGACTTTCTATCTATCCGATGACGTCACAGACCCTCTTAAGGCCTGTTCACACTAGAAATTTTGTCACGCGACATGAAGTGCAATTTTTGCAGCCTAATTTGTGTGTGTAAATTCCCTGCGCATTCACATCGATTTCATTGTGAAAGAATACCGGTATATTCCAAATTCTGTTATATTTGAAATTTCAGTGTCATTATTGAAATTTATCTGTGGAATCAMTGCGAGTTTGCAGACTGTTTACAGCCACAAAAATTTCAGCTCATGTTACATGTACATAACAAAATTCCTAAGGTAAACAGGCCTTTAAAGTAATTGTCATGATTATGACCACCTGATTACCATKATTTATTTATTCATTTTCACCATGGAAATGATGATGGTGGTAGCCAGAATATAGCTATCAATTGAATTGTATTTTGTAAAATTAGTTCAGATTTTAAGAATTSTATTCACTCATTGTGGCTCTTTTCTAGGTATCTCTTTATGCCTCTACTAAAAAAGGAGCCAAAAATAGCAATGATATGGACCTAATGTGGAAAAGTGATAATTTTAGCATTAGAGAACCTTTCTCCAAGTGAGTATACTAATGTGATATTCAATCAGTGATATTAGCTGATAGTTGTATTAATGTATCTCTCTTTTTCTTTTAGGTTAGTAAATGTTACTTTACCCAGGAAGACCAGAAACAATGGCTCTTTATTTGTTCACGTGTTTGTGTATCCAAGAGGAATGACACCATATGACAGTTTTTTTACTTCTTATGATGTAATTGAACAAACCCAATACGCTTTGCCGAGAGATGATACTCTTCATTTGCTTTCTTCTAATAGTGAGAAAAAGGTATTATTGCTGTATTATTTGCAGTAAATTGCCCAGATATGTGTATTCTTGCTTTTGTTTTAAATCAGYTCAGTGGTTTGAAAACAACAAATCTGACATGCATAGCCAAGGGTAGGGCTTCAAACCAGTAAAAGATAAAGGGTGCAATGAGTCCCAGGTCATTTTCACCWGTGGGAGTCTCCCTTGACCCTGTATTTTCCTTGTTACTTTGAACCTGGCCTCGTTGAGGGCATTGATAGAACACCAACAGACAAGATTATCARTGTAGAGTAACAAGAAAGTTTAGGAATTATATTAGCAAGCTTCCAATTTTTATTAAAAACAAGGGACAGTGATATAGTGCTATTTTCTGTGCAGTGTTCCTTTAGTAACCTAGTTGAGGTAGTATCTGGTCAAGTTGACTTGTCAACATTGAATAATTGCAGTTCTTTTAGTATTTCTTCAGTGGTGAGCTGTAGGTTTGACAGAGTGGGGCTTGGACAGGAGGTTCTGTGGTTGTCATCTTCAAGTCGGTGTTGTTGAACAYTGATGTTAAAAAGATGTTAAAAAGTTCTGCAATAGTTATAACCATCCAGTTTTTTAGGTATCAGCTCGTAATGGAAAACCTATAGCACACTGGAGGCCCAAGTTTTCCTTTTATGTATTGAGTGAGAAAGTTGTATTTGAACGTTATGCAATACCAGGAGAGATCTACCAATTTATAAGGTACGTAGTACACATTAAAATGGACTGAATACCATTTATAATGATCATACKTCTTCTTTTCCAGTTACAGTTGACGTGAATCAATTCCAATGTTTACATATTTCAGAGTTACACCAAATGAGGAATACAATCCAGTTGTGTACATTGACAGATTGCAAGTAAAATATCGGCACATTCAGGTATTAAATGTACACTTAAGGTTTTATGTATTTAATGACGTCATTTATGAAAAGAATTTGTTTGCATAGCCTATAAACAAGACTACCAAAGAGATACCATTGACAGTAGAATACTCACCAATATCCCTTGGCAAATTACGAATCTGGACATCTGTACAGCAGTCTTTAGCTACAATGCAAGTGTTAGGTATCTAATAATGTTACATCAGTTACTGCCCTTAAATTATATCAGTGATATTCTTTTAACTGGCATAAGTGATACTTTTTTTCAGGCTTCTCTGATAAAGATGTAGATGACATCAGAGGCCTGTTCACAGAAATCAATATGTACCTTCTTGGACTAACATTTGCTATTTCTATATTTCATGTAAGAATTTATATTCTTTTTAAGTTGTGAAAAGTGTATTAATTTTGATCCAATTTCTTTTAATTCTTAGTTGTTGTTTGATTTTCTTGCCTTTAAAAATGATATAAATTTCTGGAGGAAAACAAATTCTATGGTTGGTTTGTCATCAAGAACAGGTAGAACACTAGGAATATTTTGTACTTAAATTATACAAAGTCAGAGTGGAGTTTACTATCAGCAAGGCAACAGTCTCTCCCTTTCAATCAGTAGACTGAAATAGCTATTATTACTGATATGAGCTGAATCAATGTTAAGAGTGGAAAACTTGATACTCCTGTTATGGACTTTTGATACTTTGTTGTAGGGAAATTACAGCAACCAGTAATTTAGTCAGTCAATYAATGTTAGCACTACTTTATATTTTTGAATGTAAAGACCAAACTTACATAAAGCCAAGGGCAACCTTACTGCTCCACAGCCCACTAATTCCTCTTATATTCCTCTTATATGTAAAAAGATGGGGAACCCTAAATTAATTACCAATCTTCATTGATCACCTACATTGTGTATTTCTGACATTGTGAAAGCAAAGAATRGGCAGTCATGATTCATAGTGATAAATGTTCATTCTAGTTGCATGGCGTTGTGCAAGCAGTGCAATCATTTTTCTTTACTTGGTTGATGAAAAAGCCAGTTTACTGGTAACAATACCTTCAGGAATTGGAACTTTAATTGAGGTAGGACAATACCCATTTCTTACTCTGTTGATAACATATTTTTGACAATTATTATGTACTGATATCTAGTATATGCTGCATTGTCTTCATTATTAGGCATGGAAACTTTCCAAGGCTGTTAAACTGACCATCAAATTTGAAAGTGGCTATAARCCTTTAATACAGGTACTTGAGATTATTCCTAATCCCTGATGATGAACCTGAAATAGCAATTAGTGCTGGCACTTAAATTATTTATTTTTGACATATGAATTCAATGTTTATATATCTTAGTTTGGTGAAAGATCTTCACAAGAAAAAGAAACAGATTCATTTGACGATGAGGTGTGTGCAAGATACTGTCTGCCAGTTTTAGTCCTGGGCTGTAGATTGAGATAATGGTTCCATTTTGTTCATAGGCACTTTACTATTTGAAGTATTTGATATATCCACTAGTGTTGGCAAGTGCTGTRTACTCACTCATTTACCAGCCTCAAAAAAGGTATCTCTTTGATGGATTTATTCACTTCCTTTTTGGAAACAGTTCCATGACATCCTCTTTAATTAAAGACAATACTCACATGATATAACTTTCTATTGTATTTTATTAGTTGGTATTCATGGTTCATTAAAAGCCTGGTAAATGGTAAATATATCATTTGTTTTGACAAAGGCCTTATTTACTCAGCAGTGTCTCAAAGATTATTATTATATTTGCACCAACAGGTATTTATGTGGTGGGATTCTTGTTTATGTTGCCTCAGCTGTTTGTTAACTATCGAGTAAGTATAATATGCATTTAGAAGTTAATAATGTCATTTATCCATGTCAGGTTTCTAGCTGCTTTGTACTTTTTATATGGAACTGCTATCTGTTTMTCTAAGTTTAACATTCTGTACTGTCTTTGTATCATAAGCTGAAATCAGTTGCTCATCTTCCCTGGAAAGCACTCATGTATAAGGTATAATAATGATGTAATGTTGAGACAGTTGAGAATAATTCCTAAAAATCATGATTTAATTTCATAATTTTCACCAGGTGTTTTTRATTTTTTAGGCATTTAATACTTTCATTGACGATGTATTTGCCTTCATTATCACCATGCCAACCAGTCATCGCTTAGCATGTTTTCGTGATGATGTTGTATTTGTTATTTATATTTATCAGAGATGGTATGTGAAACTTTATGGTATATWACTCTAACACTTATTAGGGTTTATGGGGTAAAGGATCAGGTATACTACAGGGGCAGATCCAGCATTTTATAATTTGACCGGAAGTAAATTGAAATTTTATTGCAAAGTATCTTTGACTACACTACTCAAATAGATTCTTAAGCAGCATAGTGGCAGACACATGTTGTGTATGCTACTCGTAGTTTGCCTCTCTTGCACAGCAAATAGCATCCTCATGAACCCAGGGGTAATCTCACAGCAAGGAAGAATAATTCTGAGTTCCTGAGGATGAGCAAAGAACGAATGTTACTATTATAGTATTGTAATTCGATGTCCCCTCATCTCATGTTGTGAATTGTTCTCTCATTAGGCTATATCCTGTTGATAAGACAAGAGTTAATGAGTATGGGATATCATATGAAGATGATGAGAAACAGAAAAAAGAATAAGAATGCAATAAAAACAGCAGCTACTATGCATTATTTATTGCCCAAGTTGTTGCTACAATTTTTTATCCAGATGAAATAAAGTCACATTAATTACCATCTTGACCAGGAATCATAGTTACTTTAATGGTACCACTTTCTAGCATGTGCTCAATGTGTACAATGTTTTTACTKGGACTTGACCATTTGACTGATGACTTGGGCTCAACAGATACAAGAAACCCCCCTCCAATAGCATTGTATTGTTCCTGATTAAAATATATCTCTGTCAGCTTAGATGAACAGGCACTTGATATATCATATGTCAAATGGAATTCYAGGGTAGCAGGGTCAAAACTGTATGACTTTGCATGTCCTGCTACTGCTTGTGGGTAGGTACGGGAGGTATTCTGGACATAGATAGGATCAGGTCCTTGTTCATTCCACAAACTTGGTCTCTTGTGCGGTATGTGTCTGTGAGGAGGGTAATATGGCTTATAATCCCATCCTATCCACGACTGCAAGTATTTATCTGCAACAGACATTGTCTTTAAGGTGCTTGATAGATTTCCAGCCGATGTTAAGAATTCAGTTAGCATCCCACCACATTTCAGTCTCTTAAGATCATCTTGTCTCACTTGAAAGTTGATGTCTACTGGACCTGATGGCCCAGTGGGTAAGTGGTAGTAATGGTAACTTAAAACACTACGGTTCTTATAGTCTGGTCCACCAGGAACCTCTTCAAATCCCACCCCGTAATCATCCCATGTAACTGGCTCGAAGAAGATGCAATGTCTATCATCTATTGCTCGGATAGCTCTACTCAGCACTTCATATGCCGGGGCTAAGTTTAAACGATCGGCTATTTTGGGTACCATCAACAGTGGATCTGCATAGATATCTCCAGCCCAAGGCTCGTTTATCAGTTCATAACCGATAACATTAGGGTAATCTTTAAATGTTTCAGCGCCTTTCGCCCAGAATGCTGCCCATCTGTCCCGCAGACCATCGGTGTTATTATACAGATTTTGAAACGCAACACAYGCTGCTTCAGAGAAGTAGTATGTGGCCCAGGCAAACTTCGCACAATCCTCGTCCGAGGGATAGTTGGTTTCCGGGTCAAGAGAGAATGGTGCATGGATCGGTTCTGGAAATTTTCTTGCATTCCCAGGGTTAGCAGCCCAATCTGGAAAGCCTTCTACACAAAATTTCCTGGACATGACATCTTGGTGCATATCTAACAGGACATATATTCCATATTTTGCTGAGAGTTTCACCATACTTTCAACTACCTTAAGATATGTCTCATTGTAATATCCACGTCGGGGCTCAACACCAGGCCACATAAAACCAAGACGAAGAACATTTAAACCGAGCGACTGAAGCAACTGCATGTCTTGCTCAGAATAAGATTCTGGTGAGAATCCTTCTGTTTTTGGGTGCCATGGAAAGTGTTTCACAACGATGTTTGTGCCGTGGAAAAACCTTTCTCGTCCTTGCTCGTCAATGAACCGTTGGTTTGAGGGGTTAACCGAAATGAATTCCAAGTCTGCATCACAAAGCCATGCATAATGAATAAGTAGGAAGACGGCAATACATCTAAGCCACCACATTTTGTGAATTCATGCAGTAAATTACAATACAATATCTTTATTATATCTGTACTGACAGGTCATATGACAGTCACCCCCCTAATACGCAGAAAGCATCTTTATGTCACGCTTGTACGTTTCCCACTGGGGGTCCTGAAATCCTTATAAATACTAACCGAAAAAAAATACCACAAAAATGTACTCTTTTGAATACCAAAATAGCTTGTTCAAATCCTGCCTTGTAAATTCAACCTTTCAGAGAACATAAAAAAGAGTAAAGTCAAAAATTCCCATACTTGTCAATCACTGTTTCTTGTCTTCAAAGGAAAGGTGCCATTGTGTCGTTTCTCGCTGAGGCGATTTCTTTTCACGGTTTCAGCAATGGATGTGATTTTAGGAACGGGATGGTGAGGACTGAAATCCCGCATTCTGTTTTTAGAGCAGTAAGCATCGCGATTAAACTTTCCTGGAAGAACGTTGTCTTTAAATCGACCAATAAAATTTCCGGCTGGCTTATAACGACCAACAATAAATGTRCACTTCATATTACCCTTCATTCCGTCCGCTTTACCGATACCAAGCTGTGTACTACCCTTCCAAACAACCTGCGTGAAGTGACCAGCACCTCCTATATTCTCTGATCCAAATTGATACCCAGGACTGCATATTTCGTTGTACCTGAGTTAAAAACAGTGTAAGTCACGAAGTAGGAATGATAATCTATTTTCCTTAGTCTATGAACCGTTTTGAAATTTATGCATTAAAAAACTTTTTGACATACCAGTTAGTCACTGCTTCAGTAACTGTTTGGCCTCCATTAGGACCTGTTTTACAACCCATGGACAGATTTTCTCCCTGGCCTTGTCTTTCTAGTCGTGAGGAATGTTTCAAAATTCCTTGAGCGGCAATTTTTTGGGCATATGCTTGAGCCATTTGTGACATTTGCTTGTTTAGCACCATCACCGGAGCGCCATGGGTTCTGCGGAAATTGTTATGGATATCCAATGCTTCTTGCTCATAGCCTGCATAACAGGTAATAGGTAGTAAGTAATGTTGTAATAGCAATAAAGAATTAATATATGATCTATTCGCATAATCAGTTTCGTCTTTTCGTTCTCTGAGGAGTCTGAAGTTAGGGAGGACGCAAGGTCTGCATGCCTTGGTGTCTATACCTGTACAAAACTGGTAGGCTTCATATAGTGACAAATACTAAGCTAAATACTGGGCACCGCTGGGAGATGAATGCCGAAAATGATTGACATAAACGACACATCGTGCTCTAACTGATATTGAGATGAATTGTTGTACATGCCTTTGGCATTTTGACCATTTGCTGGACCCCACGGTTTCTGTGTTGGCCCAGTAGAAGGAGTTGTCACAAGTCCTGTAGAACTTGCTTGATTAGGGATTGTTGGTGCTCCACCGCCTGGCATAGTAGAAGGTCCTCCACTAGTCTCTACCGGAGGAGGCCCCTCGGTAGGTCTTGAAGATGATCCTACCTGAAGATTTCCTCCGWTAGGTCCTGTAGGTCCAGAAGGTGGTACCGATGTAGGTACAGTAGATTGTCCCGGCGATACAGAGGTGGGAGGAGCGGTTGCGGAAGGTTGCCCTACCCCGGGTGATACCTGGGGAACCTTTGTGCCCCCGGGCATCATCCCAGGTGCACCCTGTATAAGTAGACTCAATATCATTGCAGACCCTCCAGGTTTATACTTAGCAATGCCTTTGATAACAACTGACTTAAGGTTTGGATCGTTGGGGTTGTCCAAACTAAGACCAATTTTACCTGAATTCAAACCCAAAAGACCTAATGGAGAAACAAACGATAATAAATAGGAGTCGTTGCACGTTCTTATAACGTGTTAGTTTATAAGATATCCTTGTATTGTACAATAACCCATTTAAAATTAAACATATAATTTGACTGACTAAATCAATGTTTTTTACCTGCAGAAGCACTGCTGCTGATGGCAGCCAGTACACCTATAACTATCGCAAACAGCATGCTAGGGGTCTAATTCTGTTTTAAAAAGAAAATTCACAGTAAGTAAAATCTACACTAATCTCAATGCACTATGGCGTCCCACATTACCCAGACCAGAATGCTTTGCCCACTTTCTTTTGTTGTGTAATTAGCCCCGACCGATTGCCTTAAATTGTGTTTTCTTTGTTCTTCAGATTTCTAAAACCTGTGGAGATTAGGAAAATAATCGGGACTAATTAGACTACAAAAGAATGCCAAAGTTTCTGGAGTAGTATGTGACGCCTGATAGTGCAAATCGCCTTTTTGTTTGGCTCTGTCGGTCCATGTTTTTCATATCCGAATTATATAGTGAATATTGYCCACTGATATATATTGAATACAAACAGTAGCTTTCTGTTGATCACTGAGTAATAAGGTTTCCAAGAACGCTGTTTATTTGTTAGGTCCTTTAATGAATTGAAAATGGTTGGTTGGCTAAGTTTCTGCGCATTCATATTTGCGTATATATGTGCATTCATATAAAGCATCTCTCTTTTTCAAAGTGGGTTATGAAGACATAAACAAAACTGAAATCTTTACATACCTCCTGAACGCTGTGTGTTGAGATCGCTGATCTAACAGAACTATAGCTGCTGAATGCGACAAATTAACCTCTTTAATCATTGATTACCCAAAACGTGGTTACCTATTATCAATGTTTTATTCTTTGACCAAAATATTTTTTTACTTAGCTGTTATTTGGCAATAAGCAACTGCAAATCTAGTTTAAATCCGTTGATAGAAGAAATTTTTGCTTCTTAACGTAATCCTTGCCATATCTATGACAATTTCGACAACAATCGCACACTGATAGCAGCATTAACAAAATATGTCTTTAATTAGAGTGTTTTTAACAGCTATTGTTAGCAGGTTGGGGTCAACAATCCACCTGATCTGCTAATTTTATTGGTGCCAGGCTCATTCCTACATCTTACTTCAGTACTTTTACATATCTTTGACCATATTATATACATAGTTCCATGATATACTGATGATCAGTAATGCTGACATGATGCTGATTATGCTTTACTTTCGCAATACTTTACGCAGTACAGTCTCTTACAATACTTGGATATCAGTAGATTTTACTCTTGGGATTTTTTCTCTAAATCCAATTGACTTCATTCCTTCTCCTTCGTCATTTAAAAACCCTTCATTTAAGCCATAATCCGGGTAATAACCTTGGAAAGACTCGTCATCTTGTTCTGGTCCATTGTCGTTTTTCTCTAGTGTCGTACGGGTAACCGTATTGCAATATGACAAGTCAAACGATCCTTTCTCTACATTATCTTTGATCAAATTGGCTATGTTACCTTGTGGACCGTATCGAGCGACAATAAAAGTACAATTCATACCCCACTTTGTGCCTAAAGCCTTGCCAATCCCCAGACTTCCTGTTGATTTCCAAACAATTTGACTGAAATGACCACAAGGCTTTTGAAATGTACTGTTGTTAAAATCATAGTTGCAGACCTCGTCGTACCTGTAAAGACGATGTGATAAATGCGTAAGATTATCAGTCAGTCTGTGGAAGCACCACTCTTACAATCTGCAATGTAATTATTATTATTATTGTTGACTTGCAACATGCAAACATGTTCTCGCGGTTTGTGACAGGGATGTAAATCATGCTTGCGCGAGAGCCAAAACATTTCTCAGTTCGGTTAATCAGTGCATGCAAAAAAGGCCATAAACCAGTTTTTGCTAATTGACAAAGCAAGTTTTAACTGTTAACACTAACCATTTCTTAGTTGCTGCTGCTGCTGGCATGGTGGAATCCCCACTGGAGCAGCCCATTGCCAGGTTTTCACCCTGACCAGGACGACTGTCCCGTGCAGAGTGCTTTAGAGTTCCCAGCTTAGCCAACTGTTGGGCGAAATCCTGGGCTTCTATACTCATTTGACGGTCGAGTTTAAGTGGAAAAGAACCGTGGACTTTACGAAACCTGTTGTGTTCTGCAAGGCCATCCAAAGCAAATGCTAGGTCTATACAAAAACCAAATGTTATGTTCAAAGCCTATGAGTTACATAGTCAGCGAGATATTATACCTTTATCACTAAGTCTTTGTTGTTTTATGATCATTGTTGGCTTTTTCACCTGTTGTTCCATGTTTTCCACTTTTGTTTGATTATGGTCTGCGGTTACTCTATTAACAGCCTTTACAGATTTAGTCCGATTAGCTGTGTCTTTGATACTTTCCGGTTTGAGCATGGGTACATTCATTGCTTGTACCATAGGTGCTCTCAGTATATTACCAATTATTAAGTGCAGATTAATATCTGCGCTTTGATTGTTTAGGGTGTACGTTCCTTCCCCCTTGACTCCGTCATCTGCTAGCCGGAACTTGCCTGTTCGACCAGAGAAAACTGAAAAAAGATCCGCGGTAGAATTCACGGTTATTTGACTACAAAATTGTAGAAATTACATAAATATCGACAGTTACTATGGAGTAAAAACTATAATTCCTAAAAATTGTATAGCCCGGAATTCCACAAAAGTCATATAATATAGTGTTGCAACACCACAGACTCCAGGGTCACTCAACTGATAGAATTCCATTACCTGCTTTAACTAGTACAGCGATGCAGAAGACCCAATACAAAGACGTATTCCACATGATCTGCCTATGAGAGCAATTTACCTTTTAACATCATCATATGCTACTGTTTCAAACAAAATACGAACCTTTCTTTGAGTTGCTGTTGTTAGATATCTTTGATATAAGTGAGTGTGCGGGTCTGGCAAAGCGAAAAGCAAACACTTCAAAGTAGCAAATAGAAATAACGGATTTTGAGTGCACCAGCTGCATTTTGAAGAGGAAGTATTGTTCCATTACATCATTTCGCGTTTTATATATGATATCAAAGAGGCAAGATTTTGCTGTAACTCCGAGTTTCGTGCTACGCACTCATCAGACAGTAGACAGTATTTAGATACTGTCTGATGAGTGCGTAGCACGAAACTCGGAGTTACAGCAAAATCTTGCCTCTTTGATATCATATATATAACTAGCTATACACTTTATGTGTATTGAGCACTCTTTAATGGGATCAGCCACTTCCTCATACGATCATTTCGCGTTTTAAAAAGTTTGAGAAATCAGCAAGCATTCTAAATCTTTTCGGATAGTCAAGCTATATAATACACATGTTTTCTGAACTTTCAGGTTAATATTGATGCAAGAACTCTTGAACACGACCCWTTCCAATGCTGATCATGAATGGACATTGAGGACAGCAGGCAACAATTGATATAATCAGAGTCAGAGTATTATGACAAAGTGATTGTCAAACCTACTACAAGGAAATATTAGCGGGAGAACCGGACCGGCTCTGAGGCCATAACAAATATAATGTTAGAGTCGAAACTTGTTRCATGATCTTCCCTGTYATCGATTGACTGGAGAGCTTGTTGTGCCCAATATTTCTTTCTCCAAGCAGGTGTCCGTCCAATTAGTCGTTCAAGCGGCCATCAGGAACGGGAAGGGACAAAGGAGGGAGAATATATCTTCGAATGCAGGGGCGGATGCAAGGGGGTGCCAGCTAATCCTCTTTTGGGAAAGTCCTGATTAGATACATATAGAATACATATATTCATAAAGTGACCCGCATACTTCAGACAGAGACAGACAGACCAACACGTCTTTCAAAATTTCCGGATCCTCTCCACTATGTATTTTATTCTATCTCGCTCATTCCCTGATGATGCTGTAGATGGTGAAAGCTCGAAGTCACTTATAGTAAACTACATCTACACTCAGCAGCTTCGGCTACATTCGTACTTCTTTCTACCTCTCCTGAAATGTTTTATGAATGATCAAGAAATTATATTAAACAGAGGCGGAGGGATAGAGAGCAGGAAAAGAAAAGATAAAACAATAATGGAGGGGAAATGAGTAAAAGGGATGTTTGAGATGAATTGAAGCTCCCCCTACCATGATGTCCGGCTTGAAACAGCTGAGGGTGTATAAGACTGATMCCAAGTTCTTTATAAAAACTACATTTATTTGCATTGATTGCTGACATTAATTAGATTCTTAATTACAATACAACTCTAAAAGAAAGCTTTCCCTTTCTTCTTGAAGCACCAAAAGCGCTAAAAAGTTGGCTAAACGTACAAGACGATTCTTTTTCTACCATTTGACCGTGAAAATCTTTGGATGGTTTGCAATTCTGTATTGCTGGTTGTACAAACTCCGGCTTGTCACGGTCATTGACATATTGACAGCTTGCTGGTACAAATAACCCTTGAATAACATTAGATTTATAGTCCTCTTCTTTGCCTTTGCTTCCCTCTGGCGAATACCGAGCAACAACAACAGTACAGTTAAATTTATCTTTGGTTCTGAATGAGGCGTATCCTATGCCAAATTTTTTAGAAGATTTCCAAATCATATTAGTAAATGGTCTTGATTTTTCATTGGGTTGTGGTGAATACCAATTGTGATTACAGACGGTTTGGTACCTGCAATTACGCAATTAACTTAGTGCTTTGCTTGACTACACAATTTCGTAGAATTTTAAAAATGAGATTCAAAAAACTATTATTTGTTTTTATTACCAGTACTTAACCGCCTCGAATGCGGACAATCCTGGTCCTGATACTTTACATCCTGCTGCAATATTTTCACTTTGCCATTGATGGTCTTTCCAAGGAGAGTGAGCAATGCGCATTTCTTCAGCAAGTTTGTAGGCGTAACGAGCCGCTTTTTCGCTCATCTTGTGGTCAAGGGTCAATTCTCTAACTTGGTGTAATCGACGGTGCACATTATGATGAAGAAGCGCTATCTTTTCAAATGATATTTTTGCTGAATATAAAGAAAATGTATACGCATTAATGKTTTGCCATCACTGTGCAAAGTAATCACCAACAAGGTCTTGATACCTTTGGATCTCGGTCCAAACTTTACTTCACTCGTTCTACTTCTCTGAGACGCTTGGTATCTTTTTATGAATTCCATTTTTTTCCACTGAGGAGACCCGGGAATAGGAGGTCTTTCAGGAATAATAGGCTTGGGCTGAGGCTGGTACTGTGGAGTTTGATAGGGTACAGGCCATGGCGGTCGATAGGGTTGATACTGAGGATAAAATCCTAACAAAAAGAGACATATGATGATTGTCCATATCATTTCAGTAGTATCTCAATCATTAGCGTTATATGAGATACCTGTATATACATTTGATTCGACTACCGTCCATAACAATAAGATGCAAACCACACCAGCAAACATTCTTGTACTTCGTCTGATGTTGATGCGCTCTGCGCTGAAAAGAAATTTTACCTGATACGTAAACATGTTTGATTATAACGCCTAGTCGCGACAAATATGATTCGATGTGAAATAACGCAGTGATGTTTATAGATTCGATGCAAATTAATGCCATACCGTTATATTTTCTAATATCAAGCGAATATATGGCAATAAACAAATCAGGCTAAAACATTCTGTTTTCTTTTCCGAATAAGAATGCTTGTAAGCAACATAAGTTTCAATTGAATTCCTTATTCTAATTCAGTGAGTTAGTAGAGAAAAAACATGGTTTATTGACATAATTTGTTCTTTTAAGTAAAAATAACACTAACACGGTAATTAAACGGTTATTGAACGTTTTGTCGGCCTTACCTTTTTGTATCCCGTCAAGGTAGCAGTGAATCCACTGTACAGTAATTGCCAACGACTTTCATAACTCTAACTATCGCGCATCGTATACAGAGCAAGATCGATCGTTTTTACTACTTGTTCTCTTAATTTGTGACGAGATAATCAGTTCTGGTGCCAACAGGTGGCTGCCTGTGCTTTCAATTACACATGTCCAGTCGTCCACTTTAGTACTGCAGCTCGTTTTCATTTATCCACGTAAAACCGAAGCATATCACTTGAAATACATTTTTTAATCAAAAATAAAATAATCTGAAAAACAGAGTCCAGTACTTTGTACTTTTACTCTACCAACGGATGTCGTGTTTTGAAATATGACAAGCCAAACCACCAACTTGATTGTCAAAATCAAAATGATGCCTTCATCGTTAAAATTTCTATTTATTGCGTTCAGGCTGTCATGGGATGGGATGAAATTACTTGCAATAGAATTCGAACTTTTTTAAAGAGCAAAAATGGGGTCTACCATGCACTGGGTCTTATACTAGAGTTAGTTACTGAGTAAAGAAGGATCAGTCCTCAACTCGACCTCAGAAAGTTTCCCCTGTGCGAATTAGTTGTGAACAGCTAGTATCTTTTTGGGCCATAAATTCAAGTTTAAGAAATTATTACTTTCTGGTATATTTTGTGATGTCTAAAATCGAAGAGCCTTCGATCTTGTCACTCCCTTATAGAATAGCTTTCGGTATATGTTTAGGAGTTGATTTTATGTACCCGATCCTTTATTCCCGAAGGTTGCGCACGGACGATTCCATGATTTATATTATGTTCTGATTGCCATGTTCTATATCCTAAGTACTTCAGTAACATTAATGTAGAGTCTGCAAAACTTGTAGTCGGGACAATGTTATTAGTTTGCATGTAGCGTTTCCCGTATTTTTTAAGTCTCAAATAATGCCTTTTCAAATATGTAATTTAATACATCGGCAAGAAAACAAAAGAAAAAAACTACAACGACGACGACGATATGTGAAAAATATGAAAAGCAGATCATGTTATGTGTGTTACCGATCATATTGGGGCTGCTATTTCATTCTTCTCCGACTATTAGCGGCTCATTAGCTCCATGTCATCGTTATTAAATCTTTATTTTACTGGATAATACAAACATTATCACTGTTTAAATCTAATGATTAATTAATTGTTTATTGTCTTATTTCAATCATTTTCTTGAAGACATGTTAGTACAATGTGTGTTTTTATCAAATGAGCCCTGCTTGACGTTCTCTAGGAAAGTACCACCTCCATTACCGGCTGGGTTATACCTTGCAACGATCGTCCTACAAACACTGCCACCCTCACCTATCTTGTCGTAGTAGCCAATACCAAGCTCAGTTGATGCTATCCACACAACTTGAGTAAAATGACCCGCTGACCAATTCATCTCGTTGCTGTTGAAATCGTAGTTAGACTCACAGACTTCGTCGTACCTTTAATAAACCAAAGCATTTTGTTCATAAAATGTCACATGCATTGACACCTTTTAACGCAATAAAATACTATATTACTATATCTAATGTTCAAGCATAGTGACTATTGATTTATTTAGATAAATCTGGTTCCTGTGTATTCAAAAACTGATCGATAAATTGGATTGGATTGATGAAAATCAAATTGATGATTAAGTCAGATTGATGGACCACTGATTGATAAATCAAATTGATGGATCGGACTGATTGATAAATAACATTCATCGATTGACTGTTAGAAGATCTTTTCTTACCATCGCTTAGTCACATGTGTTGCTGTTTCGCCTGTTGAATCGCACCAAGCGGCGATATTTTCTCCTTGATTGTCTCTGTCTTCAGAAGATGAATGATCGAACAAATCATTTTCTCCCAGGTACTTTGCCCATTCAGCTGCCGATGCACTCATCTCTTGATTGAGAGTCATTGGTGGGGCTTCGTGACGTGCACGATAGTCATTGTGAGCTTTGAGAGCTTCTTCCATAAAACCTGAAACATCTGGAGTTGGACATAGTTAAGTAGTTAGTTTACGACAGAGTGCCAAAAGCCGTGACATAAACTCACACACAGTAAATTGCGCTCGCAAATAAATTAACTATGCCTTACCTACAGGAGCTGTTGTAGTTTCTCCTGGCGCTGATGTTGTCTCTCCACCACTCTCCGCGGCTGGCGTTGTCTCTGACGCCGTTGAAGCTGTCGGCCTAGTCTCTGGTGGTGGTGTTGATGTTGTTTCTCCACCACCTTCAGGGGCTGGGGAAGTCTCTGACGGTGTAGTTGTAGTTTCTCCACCACCTTCAGGGGCTGGGGAAGTCTCTGACGGTGTAGTTGTAGTTTCTCCACCACCTTCAGGGACTGGGGTAGTTTCAGATGGCGCTGATGTCTCAGCACCCCTGGGTGCTGAAGTAGGCCTTAGTTTACAATCTTCAGTTGATATCTTGATGTTTAAGTCGATATTGACCTCATCTCCATCAATTTCATATGTACCAAATCCTTTTAAGAAACATAAACAGTTACTATGATGGCGATCTAGAAGGTAAGTGTGATAACATTCTTTGAATATACTAAAATACTTTCTGTAGGATAAATTCAAAAAATCATCTTGAAAGATACTCGCAATGGTCGGTTTATTCTTAAGTCAGCTTATATTTTTTCGCGGTTTTTCTCTCACTGAGCAGTAGCTAAGACTGATTTCCAGTAAGTTGTTCTTGGTTTTCTGAAGTTTTGCTACAATAGTAGGACGTTGTATTGTTATCGTTATAAGTTTGAAGTTCGGTACCTTGCACTAGACCATCACTGATCTTGAAACTGCCTCGTTTTCTGACTGAGCTATCGCAACTATCATGATATAATGGGATGTCTTTCCTGGACTTCGTCATCTGGTCATTTTTCAATCCCGCCGTTACATTTGTCTTGTATGCCTGCATTGATTCGATAGGTCTATACATTATGGGGAGATCTGGCTTATATTTCAATGGTTGGTCAGGTCTAAATGATATTGATTTGTCTGCATTGATGAATCKGTTATATGTGGGTTGGCCTGGCCATGGTARATGATTAGTCAACAACAGGGAATATGGAAGAACGCGACGTTTGAAAAACGGTGTTAGTGTTCGTCTGTAAGGATTATAAAGTGTTTTCAGTTGACGTTGTTTTTCATTTGGGGTACTACTAAMTACAGTTTTCTTGGTTTTCGCTCCTGCAATAGAAAAAAGGTAATGTTTTGAATAATGTAATTTGTATTGCTGGATTGATGGTTAACATAAATATTTGTTGTTATATAGCATTAGGTTTTAGTGTATCAGGTGTTTTTGTACACCTTGAGCAGATAAATCTCTAACGGTTTGCTGACGGCATTTAAGTAAAGTCTTGTTATATTTCGCTTAATTGTGCCCTTGAAGTGCGTATACACATACCCACTGTTTGTAGGAGAAATAGAAAGAAATATATACCACTTGCACTAAGCTTTGGCATTTTGATCTGAAATATAACCAAATTCAACTGTCAAGTTGTAGCAGTTAAGCGACTATATATGCACAGTTCACTTACAGCTATGTCAAGTACCTTTCTTATGCCTGAGTCAACGGTCTTTTCATCACAACACTTATGAAGATGTATTATTCATGTGTCGTAGCGGGTAATGTTCATATGGCTATTTTGTTCCTTTGTTTCTTTCTCTAGTATTTCATTGAGATCGGTGGCACTTTTCAGTGCACACCAAAAATATTTTAAAAAACCCGCAGACTGTAGCCTTTTAAAGAGGATCGCAGTATTTCTTTATTGCATTTAAATCAAACACTAACGATGAATATATGAAAGAAAACAATATGGATAGACCTTTTTATTCGTTTTTGTCAATTTCTCAAAAATTTGCTGACCGTGTTTTGTTTTGTTAACCCTCGATCACTAACCCCAACCCTAATTCCATTTTGTTTCAAAGTGCATGACAGGCCAAATGAGCAAGGAAGCTGCAGGGTGCCCTAGTCCAGTCCTGACCTCCTTGCGACCCGCTCCAGGACTCCCGGGGAAAGAGAACCCTGCGAGTCCTGGAGCGGKTCGAAAGGAGGCCAGGACTGGACTACAGGTTGCCCATGCATATCTAGGAAGCGTATTAAACAGTGAAAGTTAGTCTAGACCTCAGAGCTTCATCAGAGTTTTATTACTGACAACAATATATTATTTTCATTGGTGATGAGTTTGATCAAAGACTTTGATAATGATTTTATACCACCTTTTTTACAAGTTTTCCTCGATGCGACAATGTCTTCGACGAATATACCATTGTTCAGCAGCCATTTAGAATGCTGAATTTGCGAGAGTCCGTAGTTTGATTAACACTAAGTTTTATGAACGGGATATAAAGGCCTCGTATCATGTGACCCAATAGTTCGATGCTCATTGGACTAATAGTTTATGAATTATTAATGAGTTCTAGCATGAATGTTATACACTCCGTCGCAACAATATGATTGAAGCTTCAGCATCTCCGGTACGTGTGACGGACTTATGGGGCTTTCAACATAGCCTGTGTACATCCGTTTCTCCCCGGTTTTTGTTCGAGGGGTTAGCTAGAAACGGAGGTACACAGCACAGGCTTACAACAAGAGGCCGTTATGCATGAGCATGCGCGCAACCGCTGCGTTATAACGACCATGGGCTCTAGAATACGGGTAGAATAACATTGTAGTAGCTGCGGAAGCTTCGATTCTGAACATAATTGATGTTTTTACTTATCTTCCACATTTTTCCAAACAAAACCAAGTAGATATATTTACAATGCACACGAATATCTTTCAAACTTTATATAAATTACTGTGAGTCTCGGGCTAGATTTATAACACGAAGCCACTTTGTACCGTTAAAATGTAGTGAATTATTTGTGCACACCTTTAGCAATGATAAATTTCTAAGATGTGAATCGATTGCACTGCAATAGTTTATTTCATAACTTATAATGATACAGCTATAGAACTACACATAGATATTTATGATAACTTGATTCAAACAAGCTCAACTCTTCAGCCAAAATAATGCTAAATCTGTCGTGAGTGCTCAACAGCACGTAAGAATTTGCAGAATTAACACCGTTCCACATTTTTCATAGACAAGAAAACATTATCAAACCATTTGCAAAGCATAAGTCTTGATATTGGTAGCCTTATTCTAATGAGTCCTGGTGGTATATAAAAGGAAAGTAGTATTTCATGTAACAGTTAATAATATTTAAGCGTAAATATTGTACACTTCMAGAAACTGTCTTTCGAACATTTCGAGGTCGATGTTACTAAACGATGCCTAATTATATTACTACATGTGTACATTTACCATTGACTTCATGACCTGCGTTGAATCTTGACCAGCACTCAGCAAAAACTGGAATAGTAGTTGCGTATATAAACCACTGCAGCCTCCATATTGTAAACACAAAGTCATTAATACTATCAACATTTCTTAAATAAGATTTTAACCGGTCCCAATCAACGGTCCAATAACGCCAGTGTTTTTCCTCATTGTAGGTTACACGATTTATGAGTGTTCTTGAGTCATAACAGAACATTTCAGGGTCAAAAACAGCCAATAACATTTTTGGAAATTGTCTTTCGTATCGTTGTAATTTCTCGCTTGAAATGAATTTCAATGAATTTTCAACAGACTGGCGCATGCATGCGTACGCCAAACGGCCCCTTGTTCAGGCTTACCAGACTATCGAGAAGAGAGGTCGGCTCCAGGCCTCCTATGGCGAATATCGGCCGAAAGCCGTTGAAATCTCTTCAAATAAGGCCATTTTCAACATCGATATGATTCTGCTTATTTTGGGGGGTTATATTCTGTTTTTTAGTTTAGAAATACAATTTAATGCTTTCTGAGTGTGGATGATCACTGTTTCCCCGCGGAATACAGCTGTTCTTATCGACGCTTGCTTTTATAGCTTATAGATGGAATTACTTTAAATCATTGCATTTTTTGGTTTTGTGTTTAGTGCTACACATATTCCTAACTTGCTTTCTAGCTCGCTTCATAACTTGCTTCCTAACTCGCTTTTTAACTGGAAAGATAGGTATCCTCTTTGGTGAACTTGGGTCAGAAATAGTATCCAACATGTTAACACTTGGCATGCAATTCCGGCATCATAACATGCAATTGGTATGCCACTAGGACACAACCAAGGCAGGTGGTAGCTAGTGTTTATGCTGACCTAAATGTTCATTTTATTACTGAGAAGTACTAGAAGGCTACGATGCATGGTGGACAGTTGGTATTTTTTCTTTTCTTTTTCTTTTCACACAAAACCACCTAACCACCTATTGGTTATAGTGGCCAGTACCTGTAAATCTTATTTGAGATGGCGAAGAAACACTAGCAGTTTTTTTCGAACTATAGGACCACAGAAAAATGATAGAATCAAACTCTCAACTCCACTTATATGTGATTCCACCTGTGTATCAATGACTGAATAAATACATGATAAGAGTAGAGCCAAAATTTAATACAGACTTTTCACGCCATAAACTTTGCATCCTCAATGATAAGTCAATATATATTTGAATCAAAATATATAATGAATACAAAACTACATGACACTACAATCGTTAACAAAATCCTTGGGCCATTCCAGCGAATTTCTTCATTTTAAGCAACTCCTGCAGAAAATTTTATCCCCCCCTGACCTGCTAAATAAAATTTTGTTATTGAGCATGCCACCATAGTACACAACCATCCAAAACAAGACCCAACATTGATGAAAGGTGGCTAAGGGGAAGAACTTTGAAAAGATAAAGGGAAAACATGATTCTATGGTCCAAGGTTTTTCGACAAGGATTGCAAGCATAAAGAAATGTTACTGAAAACTAGGGCAGTCCAGTGTCCAGAAGAAAACGTTTTTCTCATATTACTATGGAAAATTCTTATTTGCAGTGATGACAAAGCTGCGAACCGTTATGAATATCTATTGCAGGAACTTTGCAGCACTTGGTATTACTATTAGGATAAGTTTTCAAACTGGATCTTTTCTATACTGTCGATGCCCTTGCTAGCGCTTGGATTGCGTTTCTGGATGGTGCTGCAGTAGCTTCGATCAAAGCTACCTTTAATAACGTTTTGATTGTAGCTCCCAACCATGTTCCCAGCCGGCTTGTATCTTGCGACGTAGTAAGTACATTTCATACCATTTTTTTCGGCTTCGGCTTTTCCAAAACCAAGCTCTGCGCTACCCTTCCAAACAAGCTGTGTGAAGTGTCCAGTACCGCCGCCAGAACTCTCCGCATTAAATGTATATCCTGGATCGCATACCTCGTTATACCTCGAGACAAGAAATGATACAAGCTATAGTGAATGCTACGTTGACAGAGAATGAGACAGAACTGACCCAAAGTTTTGGGCGTTTCATCTCCTAYAACTAGTTTCGAGAAAATGCATAAAACTTTTAAAAATTTAGTAGTAGACAAGTGACCTGAGAAAAGATTAGACAAGTAACCTGAGAAATGTGTAGAAATGCAGCTGAATTACCAGTTCGTGACTGCTTCTTCCGCTGTTTGTCCTTTAGAAGAAGAACAGCCATAGGACAAGTTTTCCCCTGCATCATCTCTCTCGCTTTTTGTCGCGTGCTGAAGTGTTCCCAGGTTTGCCAATTTAGCTGCATAATCAGCAGCGGACTTTGACAATTCTGCGTTTAGTGTCAATGGAGGTGCTAAATGAATCTCTCGAAACTTGTTATGTAAAGCTAAACTCTCTTGTTCGACGTCAGTAACTAAAATTAAAAGAAATYCCTATTCAATCATGAGCTAAGAAAATCGTTCATAAAGCCTTCAGCAAATAAACAACAACAAACAAACCTTGGTTATTTGAAGATGGTATTGTTGATCCTTGTGGGGCTGGCGTGGTTTCTCCTTGTTCTGGGGCTGGCGTGGTTTCTCCTTGTTCTGGGGCTGACGTGGTTTCAGATCCACTTGTTGAGGGAGGTGGGGTGGCAGAGGGGGATGGCCCAGTCGGACTGGCAGGCTTTCCACACGGTTTTATTTTTAGTTTCAAATCTATATCGATACCATCATCCCCAATTTCGTATATCCCTCCACCTAAAATCCATATTTTGATCAAATTTCAATACGTTCTATGCAAGTCGAGGCACACATTGATTTATCAATTTCTTTAAATTAAAATATATAGTTACATCATTGTATTGATTAATCAAAATTGTGTGCATGTGATATTGATTTCATCTATTGGTAGCCAAGTATGTTCCTTATTTTAAGAAAATTTTTAAGAACACTAAGAACACTTAGAGGCTGATTTTGCAGATTATAACCCTTTATATATAAGAACCAAATCAGCCTGAAACTCCAAAATAGGTGTTCTTATACGCGGGTTTTTACTGTATTAATTTTGAATATAAACTTTAAAAAAAGAGTTTACAAATTGAAATTAATTATAATAAAACTGTCCATTTGAACAAGTCTCTTTTGCAATTTTTTTAGTTTGTTTTATAAAAAACGTTCATTGTATTCATAATATTTTTTACGCGGAAAAAATAGGCATTTTTCACGTTTCAACTAAGAATACACGTGTATAAGCATAGTTAGTAGTTAGTTACCCTCTACTAACTATGGTATAAGCTACCAATATACCTATCACAGGTCCATCTTCAATTTTGAAGCTTCCAGTTTTGGCACATTGATCTTGCAGCCTTTCACTGACCGTTGCTCTTTTATGACCGGAATAGAAAATGTTCCGAAGTTTGCTTTGTTCTCTTCCATTTATGTGGCTGGTTCCACATAAAGTGATAGCTACAGTTAAAAAAATAACTTGATTTTTTGTTCAAAAGGTCATCAGATATAACAAAGGTAATTGGACTACCATAATTGAAATGATTCTGCACATTAGTCACCTATAGGCCCCTATCCAGAAATGCTGAGTGATGTTAGTTTCTAAATCTTAACAGCTTTTTGGATACCCAAGTTCGTGTGACAGTTTCAAGTGTGTTGGACTRTATAACGGTTTATAGTAGAAAGATATATCATATGATATCGGTCCATCAGAAAGACGCCTATTAATCTTCAAGTCAAAATGTTCTTTGCTATGCTATGAAATCAATTAAATTACAAGATATATTACAGCGTATTATTTTTTGGTGGCATCAAATTTCCACTAGGCCTCTGAAAATGTAGTAAAACTCACTCAGAAGCAATAAAAAAGTCATGGTTCATTTCATAATGAAGTTAAATCTCTGACAATGGTGAATAAACTTGCTCCGACACAAAATTCCTGATAAAGTCAAAGCATAAACGTTTACCTGATAAAACTATAAAGAAAGCCCTTGACATGTTGACAATTGTTCTGAAACTCCAACTGATGATAACATACAAMTAAGTCATAACCAAGGGTTTGAGAAATGCAGGTGGTTGGATTGGTGCRGCCCCGTTAATTTCCAGTTCATTAGAGACGCACAGAGGCGATACAGGTGGAGGTCACTTTCGTATGCCACAAGGAAGACTAACTGAAATGTTCACAGATTACACCTGTACAAAGTCACCTGAACAGTTAGTCTTATTCCACCTGTCGTTTGCTAGCTTGCTTGATTTCACTCTGCACAGAATTCTCAGATTCCTCGAGATGTGAATACACAAGTATTGATATCTCATTCGCGCAGCCTTACCCTCAAAAGCGTGCAAAGTGTCGTTTGTAAAGAAAACAATAAAGGTTTGTGAGCAATTGACGAAGGTTGCGTAATATAAGAGTTTTCCAAACTGGACCGATTTTAATTTTTATAATTTTAATCAGCCGGTAAATTTAGGCAACTTCTCTAATCTTGTGAGCGTTTCAAGTAACATTTTTTTATACAAAATTTTTCATTTCATTTGTTTCTCTTTTAATTCCATTCTGTCATCCATATTATGATGATTATACTAGATTTGTCTGCATATACTCTTATGCTTTTTCCTTGAATGAATCCAACAAACAGAATCAGTCTCAATAAAAGATTCAGAGTAATCAAAAGGAAATAAAGCAATCAGTCTTCGACAACTACTGAGAATTTGTTTGATAATTTTAATTTAGAAAATTGATAACTGATTAAATCATATTGCGTACCTCTTCAGTTGTGTGGAGGGTTGTAATTCTCTATTCATGATCACCGCTTTCTATCAAYTCAAGTACAACTGAGGACTCTGACAACTCAAGCACTGTTAAGCACAATCTAAMCYGTTTTCCATACCTTGAAATATCTCCTTGTACGTTCTATCTTTAGACTGTCATGAAGGAATATTTACTAGAACGCTTAATTTCAATTTTTACTGTAGCTCTATAATGTTATAATTTTCAAATCACCGTAAACCATGTTAGAATAAAATCTCTTTTTGCTCACGAGTTTTCTCATTATTCAMTTTGACACACAGTATTGTTGATACTACTAGTATTGTTATACTATTAGATATACTTAGTTCTCTTTAAACCGAAACCACCATCAAGKCCAGCACCATCTTTAACATTATTACAATAACTCTCATCAAATGAGCCCCTGGCAACATTGTCTTTGTATCCAACACTTCCATCATCAAAGTTTCCTTGTGGTTTGTATCGTGCGACWAGGTATGTGCATAACACCCCGTTCATTTGCTTATTAGCAGACCCTAAGCCCACTTCGGTGCTTGCCTTCCAAACTACCTGTGTAAAGTGGTCTGTGGCTTTTTGTGGTCCTTCTGCGTYGAAATTGTAATGGCAGACTTCATTGTACCTAAAACGATGGAGTACCACAAATAATTTGTGCAAAAACAATACGAGTAGAGCTCATGAAAATGATTCTGTTTTATACCAGTTTTTGACAGCTTCTTTCGCAACTTCTCCAGCATTGCTGCTGTTAGTGCAGTTCATGGCCAGATTCTCTCCTTGATATGGTCTTTGACTGTATCCCGACTGGACCAATGAGCCAAGATCAGCCAATATCTGTGCATATTCAGCTGCTTGCTTGCTAATATCACAATTTAGTCTCATTCTGGGAGCATCGTGAATCACTCTGTAATTATTGTGTGATACAAGTCCTTCCTTGTTAACAGGCAGATCTTGAAATTATTAAGGATTATGAACATTTTATACAGAAAATCGTCTCTAGTTATTTCAAATATTTTCTTTGACAAAGAAAGTAAATTACCTTCACATTCTTGAGAGTTGGTGTTGATATTTGTTGGTTTAACGTTAGTTCCGGAGGTTATGACTGTTGTTGCTGATCTTGGGAGTGATGTTGATGGTGCTGTTGTTGGTATTGTTGAGGAGGTTGTCGGCCGTGCTGTTGTTGAACTTTGTGTTGTTGGTATTGTTGTAGCTGTGGACAGTACTGTTGTCGATGTGGTTGTTGGTGGTGCCTTTGAAGGACGTGTACTTGTCCTTGTAATAATACATGGCTTTCTCAACTTCATTTTGATATTGAGWAAAACTTCTTTTTTGGASACAGAGTACCTTCCTTGACCTTTATTCTCTTTCAATTTGAAATCTCCTGTTTKTTCATGTGGACATGTTGGGTCGTTCAAATGCTCTTCGCTTGACTTWGGTTTTTTMATGAAACCATTCATGAGGTGTTTTACGGATGGAATTTGAAGAACATTATCGTCGTCAACMTGAGAGTCATCTATTGAAATGCAACATAAGACTRAGTATGATGATTGTTTTATACCTTAATATCAATATTTTGGTTTACCAACAACAWCAGTTTGACTTGTTGATAACTGACTTGCCACCAGTGCAATSCAAAACCATGATTTCCAAGATGTCATTTCCGTTTAGTCACTAACCACAAACTTAGGTTATCACTTCTTCCTGTATWATCATATAGTTCTATTTTAGACTACAGAACCTATCCACTGAGACTAGAGCCGTTACGGTTGTTAGAAAAGCGGGTCATTTATTGTAAACAACCATCAGAGCGAAAGCATTAGTTACAATGGAACACATGCATTAGCGACCGTTTTACGAACTCTCAGGTACTGACAAGCTGCTAAAGTAAAAGCGAGACTGGGACACGTTCAGACTTTTCCGATTAAGATTGCCTAAGCTAGATYGCACACCAGGATTGGGTTAAGCAAACAATGAAACATCAAATGATGAAAAATTACGATATAATGGACAACAAATAATCATATACAGTTTAATAAATATGTGCGGGCTAAAATGTCGTCATTGTTACCAACAGTAATTACATACTTAAGACCGTGGATACTTGCTCTCGCGTCTTGGGAAAAAACATACCGATTCAAATGGTTGACAATTTTATTTAAAAACCATACCTTCAAAAAACAAGCTAATACCCCCCTTATTAATTATAATAATAATAATAATATTAACTTTAATCCTTTCTATACCAATTGATACATAGGATACAAAGTATCAATAAACAATTAAAAATATTACAAACAATAATTAACTAAATAATAAAATTATCAAAAATGATATAGATTACAATGTGTAAGTTTCAAGTGTACAAAAATGAAACAACACTAATGTTCATTATACAGTTGTAAAAAATCATAACAATATTTAGCACATGAATTTATAGTAGATTCGTCATGCATACGAAGTAGATMTATATAGAAATAGCTCAACATTTTTAAATTTACACAAATGTGGGCAAGAAATACTTAAAACATCAAAAACGTTTTTTCTTAAATTTACAAATTTATCATGATTACAATTTAAAATATAATGAAATTCATCACCAACATCAGATGAATCACATAGGTTACATGTCCGATCGCAATAGGCTATGTTAGAGTAACGACCTGATTCAACAGGTAACCTATGCGCTGAAATCCTTAACTTTGTGACTGCTTGACATTTAACATTAACGATTTTATCTAAATAATTTTCGAAACCAAAACTTTTCTTAATCTTATCAAGGGTGCGAAGTTTTCCGTTATCGCTTCCTTTTTTAGATGTTCAGCCCAGTGGAGAGAAAAAATATTATGTCCTAAAAGGTTACAACATGAAGCTAAGACACAGAGGGAACATGGTAAAGCAATTGTYACGAGTATAACAGTGTTTCGGTACCAAACGAATACTTGCACTGAATAAAATGACTTACAAATTTTTACTATAATACAGGATAATTAGGTAAAGATAAATTCGATTTTAATCGAAGGGCTACTTTTAGACGAAAATTGCGAAACATTAGAAAAGACTTGGAAATCAAATAGACCTATCCATATGTGTGTAACAATCATGAAGCAACAGATTTCAAGAAAATATTCATGCAAATCCTTAATAATTTGGGCAAAAAATGTTGGAGTAGATGACGTCATCTACTCAATCCTTTTGTTCTTCCATCTTTTGAATCAAAATTTCTCTGATGTGGGATAATTCYAAGACAAATATTTCCCGCAATTGTTGTTAATAGATATAAATGAGTCATATATTTGTATTGCTTGAAGTTTTGAAATAAGGCCATTTTCATGCAAGTAGCACTTTAAAATTCATTAGTTGTTATCTTCGACGATATCACGTCACAATATGACAACGTTTATTTAATACTCCAGTTTCGAATTCTCTTATGTTCAAGCTTAGCTTC